AAGAGGACAAGCAAAGAGTTGGTCAGGGTAGAGAGACAGGTGGCTACAAATGATCACAAACAGCACATGAGGGTCCCTAGCTGGGGCTGGGTCACAGTCAGGGGCAGCACGACAAACCTAGGGAGAAGCATGATTTTGATTTGATTGTCTGGCTAAGCGGTCAAGCGGGCGAAGAGGAAAATCCAGAAGTTCACTTTATCAAATCACCGCTGGACCTTTGGCATTTGATCTGGGAATCTCAACTCAGAGACGAACCAGCTAGACCGAAATCCGCGTTTTTGTATATTTAGAAAACAAATGAGCAGACGCCAGACAAACGGAGGAGTCTAACCTCTTCAACCCTGAAAGGCAGCAACATCGCTTTATTTTGTATATTCTCCCGAATAAGATGTTGTTTTCAAATTGCTACTTGCATGTGAAACCAGAATAGCAGTTTATACAGTTCCCTCAAAAACTGAGGGTAATAGGATCGTTTCAGTCTCGTGTTCTCTTTGTATGCACAAGCACGCTCAAGGGGAGACAGCCCATGTGCCCAATTGTAAACTGACAGTGGTTACATACATTGATGTAAACACTTAGAAAACGTCTTGGAAAACTACCAGACAGATAGCAGGGGTTCGCTGTGGGCAAAGCAGGGGAGGGGATTGAAATTAAGGCTGATGGTCAAAGGCACTTTAGTTTTACCTGCACTGTTAGTTTTTTTTTTTTTTTTACAATATAAAAAATTATTACTTGTAGATTTAAAACAATTAAATAAAATTTTTTTTTAATGTTTATATATTTTTGCGAGAAGGGGAGAGACAGAGCATCAGTGAGGAGGGGCAGAGAGAGAAGGAGACACAAAATCCGAAGCAGGCTCTAGGCTCTAAGCTGTCAGCACAGAGCAGGATGCGGGGCTCGAGCACATGAGCCATGAGATCACGACCTGGGCCAAAGTGGGACGCTCAAACAACTGAGCCACCCAGGTGCCCCTTTAAAATGTTAAAAAAAAAAAATGGAAAAATTAACACTAACAAGATTTTCCCAAGTATTATAGGAAGGGATCCAAAAACGGTTACCGTGCAGCAGAGGGATAGGTGAACAGGATACAAGTTATGGAGAAGTGAGTGCGTGGTGTCTGACAGATGACTAAAGGCAACGGATGCTCCCCAAGATCGCAATCTTGAAAATCTGCCGTCAGTGCTCTCTTAAAACTAATTTGGCCTTTCTTCCTTTGGCCCTCCCAGGTGCCTGCATTTCTTCAAACAGCTGTTCTGTGACCTAGAAGAATGGTTTCATCTTTGCAAATGCCACTTACTTCTTAAGGATAAACGTCAAAAAATGGTAGCGATTGCTCTTATGGTCAAGTGGCAATGCTAGAAGCTACAGCTGAAAGGGTTGGAGAATGCGCAGAGAATGAGGAGCAGGAGGATGGAAGAACCGAGTTCTGCAGAGACTATGGAGTCTCTAGAAGCTCACATCAGCGCTTACCCGGGGCGCGGCGCAAGGTGAGGGCTGGGCGCACAGTTGATGGACGGTGGGCAATAGTATGGAAAGAAGACTTGACAGTCCGTGGGAGATGCACAAGAAGACTCCTGAGCGACTGAGGGGCCTAGCTGAGCTGATTGGGGGAGAATTTGCAAGGAAACAAATCCGCCTCGGTTAACTGGGTAGCTGTGGAGCAGGAGAGAAAGTAGACTGAGCTTCCACTCATGGCTGGAAATGCATAAACACCCAAAAGAACAAGAACAAGGAAATCGACATTAATGCGTGCACATTGCTTAAAGAGCTGGTCATGAGGTTCTGGGATTTGGGACTGGGGATTTGGCTGATGAGAGAACAGGAGGAAGACAAAGATGTCCTGAAACAAGAGAAAAGGAGGGTTGCAAGTGGTAAAGGAAGGTTGTAAGGGCAAAAGAGGAAGGTGGATAAGGTTCGTTTTGCCATGCCTACTGGCCTGTAATGTCCCTTAAGGAAGGAGCTGATTCTCGTTCATTTTTAATTTTTCATAGCACTTGCTCAATAAATGATTTTGATGGCTGAGTGAACCCATTAATGGGAATAGTTATCTCACCGAGTCACCTTGAGGGCAGGTCCCGTGTCTTGGGGACTGACGTACCAACATGCCCAGGAAAGCTCATAGGAGTTTGTAGGAACACAGCACCTACTGAACGGACAAACGAACTGGATCTTTCTGAGTTCTAATTTCTTCGTCTAAAAATGAAAACCACAAGACTGACTGCCATTCTTGAGCAGGGATGAAGCGCACATTATAATACTAGACAACTTTGCTCTTGAAATTTGCCAAACCAACTCTGGGTCATGTTCATTGAAATGCCTCTGTGGGTAGCTGATTCCCTATGGCTCATACTGTATTCAGTCATGGAGGGAAATGAGTCACGCATAGGGAATCATAAACACACACACACACACACACACACACACACACACACACACACAAACACAAACACACACACAAGTTGGCCATGGATTTTTAAACTTTTTATCTTCTCAAATTCTCACTTCTGCCCCCCCACCCGTCCCCACCTGCCCCTCAGACTTCACTCCATACAACAGTCACTCCTTGGACCAAATACCCATGACAAATTCAAAACAGTTGCCTGGGGTTTGGCTACTGCTTAGCAGGTAGTTATAAACCATGCAGTGGTGCGAACTGAGCCGGCATGAAGAAGTTAATTAGAGCAGTCAAGAAGATTGTTTAAATAAAGACGAAAATGTAAACACGATCTTCATTGGATAGAGTGATTAGAAATTACAGGTGTTTGTTTTTATCAGAGCCATCTGGGGCCTGTCAAAATCTTGACGCATGGCATAATCTGCCACTAATCAAAAAAGAAGAAAACAAACCCCCAAAAAAGAAGAAGGAAAACATCTAAGACCGTAAGTAGGAAAACAGACATAGAAAACCTTCATCTTTCCAAGTGGAAAAAAAAATATTTCAGTTGTTTTTTTAAAACAAGTGTGATCCGTGTTTGGAAAAAGTCTGAACTCCTTAGTTCGTCTTGACAGACATGCTCTCTCTCCATTTTAAAGCCTTAGCCGTGGGATGTGCAGTGGGAAAGAAAGCCATGGGGATGTGGACAAAAGAACAGAGTTAAGGGTAATCAAGTTGCCCATCTCAAGTGCTTGATGTAAATGAAGGCCAAGCTTAGCCTTCTTATATATCTAAGGTGTCACTGACTTATGGAGACAGCTCGATAGCATTCATCTTCGAGGTATTATGGATAACTGGAAATTATTTTTTCCGAAATTGACACACTTAAATTTATGCTGCTTAAATATCTAGTGGAGAAAATGGCACATGATATGGGATAACGGGAAATGCATGGAGGGACATTTTGAAAAAATATGTACTGTCTAGACTTCCGCTCTGCTCGATTTGTTATGGATATGCAGCACTAGAAAATAAAAATTGGGGAATAGGATAATTCTATCTCAGATCTGGAACTGTTCCTGGTATATAGCATGTATGCAAGAGTGGTGTTTTAAGGAAAAGAAGAGAGAAAGAAAAAATAGATGATACTTTTACCATGAATGTTGCTAATTACACCTATGGATGCAATATTTATGTAAGGATTACCATGGATGTTCTTGTCATCGATTTATTTATAAGTCCTAATTACACAAGGCGTTGAGCAGAGTGTTTTGTTTCTTTACTTAAATATGGCATCTGCTGGGGTGCCTGGGTGGTTCCGTCGGCTGAGCGTCTGACTTTGGCTCAGGTCATGATCTCGCAGTTTGCGAGTTCGAGCCCCGCGTCTGGCTCTCTGTGCCGACAGCTCGGAGCCTGGAGCCTCCTTCGGATTCTGTGTCTCCCTGTGTCTCTGCCCCTCCCCCGCTCATGCTCTGTCTCTCTGTGTCTCTCAATAATAAATAAACGTTAAAAAAAATTAAATATGGCATCTGCTTATGGGTGAAGTATTTCCTTCATATGACTCAGGCCGGCCCAACACTTAAAAATAGATGACACGGATCTGAATTTCAGAAAAGTATTGCAGGATATTAAGACACCCAAAACGGCAACGAAACAGAAGTCACAAGAGCGCAGTGGATACCATGAGCGGAGATCAAAGATGAGGGGGAAGGTCAAGGGCAGTGCTTTTCTTTGTGTTGACCCTGGAGCAGGAACTCTACCTGATCACGGGGGAGTATCGATCCTTCAAATCATCTCCCTCTCTCCTCAACCCTCTCTGTCCCCCAGTCCCTTCCTAGGCACCAGCGAGGGATGGGAAGTGGGAAGAGAAGGAAAAACCAAAGGACTGAGCTTATAATAATACAACTCACCACTAGTGATGATAGCAAACGCTCATATCCTGCCTACCTACTGACTTGTGCCAGCCACTCTTTGAGCGCTTTACATATAGTAACTAATTCAACTCTCGCAACAATCCTATGACTGTCCCATTTTACAGATGAGGAAGTTGAGGCCCAGAAAGACCAAAGGCGCTTAAAGGGTAACCACCAGGTAGTTAGCCTCAGACCAGACCACTTGTCGGCTACCCAGAGGCACAGCCAGAAGACAAAGGTTTGGGACTAAGGAACTTCCAAAGTCCTTTCCACATGCTCAGTCTAGGCCTCCATTCCACACTGGGATGCTCCATCTGGGTGCCTAGCGCCTAGCAGGGTGCCTATCAGTGCACAGACTCAAAAAATACTGGTCGAATGAAAAGTTGCTTCGTGTCAACTTATAGTGGAATTCTTTAGAGTCTATTAAGTCCGTAAAACCACAAAACCCTGATTTGGTTGGCCTTAACATAGCCGAATGTTTGCCTCCAGGCAGCCTAGAAAGGAGTTTATGCCACTCTGCAGAATGCCATTGCAATGATAATTTAAAGATCACCTCTCTTTCTCAAAAGAGCAAGCAGTACCGATGAGAGCTAGATTTCTCACCTGCCCCTAAACTACATATCGCCCCCAGTGTATGAAAAAAAAAAAAAGACACAGAGAGGAAATGAACTGAGACAACATCACTTGCAGCAACCGGAAGGAAAAACACACACAAACCCTGTTCACAGTCTATGTGTGTGGTTGCTTAGTAGGGTAATGCTTGCAGCTGCCTTTAGAAGCAAATCTGGTGGCCGGGGCAAGACACAAGCATCGGGATGAGGCAGGACTGAGCTCCCAGCTCCCACCTGCCTGACTGGGGAGAGGGAGAGAATACCAGTGAGACCAGACGATCCAGCAGCAGTGGCTCTGCCCTGGGTAAGTTCTCAGACACTTGTTGTGGCCTGACGGGGGGTGGGACTCACTCAGACTCTGACTTCCTGAGCTGGTATCAGACATCTGTTAGTGTTCCCCTCTGTTGACACCCCTGAACTGGAGCTGAGAGGGCCTCAACACGTCCCAAAAGTGGAAAGAGGGACTCCAGGATTCTTTCCAGTCGACCCGCAGGCACTGGCTTTAAAGCAACCTGAAACCTACATGATTCTATTTTTGAAATCATCGTGGGGAGGTGCTTCCGGGTGTGTAAGCTGGATGGCTCCTCCCCCTTGCTGCCCTCGCAGAGAGCATACCTATGATAACCTTGAGCTTTGGCTTCTCCTAAATTATTTCATTACTTCAAAGTGTGGGCTGTCACTTGCACATTGTGATGGACTAAAATCATTCATAATGTCATTTTCAGTCCCTCTGGGAGTCAGCCTGGAGGGGTAGGAAACGGTGATTGGGGATTGGACTCAGGGTTGATTGGCTCTGCAGAGAACTGGCCATCAGCATCATCTCTAAGGGGTTGGGGACAAATCACACTATGTTCTACCTGTTCGCACTGGGCCACCTCAACTTCTCCATCCTTTCTTTTTTCTGTATTTACTAATTCCCTTGAGTCATTCATTCATTCATTCGGTAGCATTTCTTCCACAAAGGAATTGAGGCAGCCTTTTCATCTTGCTGAAATCATTTCAAAATGAAAAACACGGACAACTTTCAAGGGAATGCCATTTGAAAAGCGTTGCATGTTGTTCAAAGCTGTGTGGACGTCGGCGGGCTGGTTTTCTGCCCTGTGTGCCCGTGATGAGAGCTGAGGGTGTGTGCTCTGGTCTTCTTAACCCCTGTTTGAGGAGCTTCCTCGCCCACCCAGAAAGTTGGTTCCCACCAGAAGTCGGTGTGAAGAGCCCATGACAGGACCCTGGGAACAAGTCAAGTGATTTTTCTCCTTGTTTCTACTTCCTTCCAGTTTGGGGATAAATTCCTTCCAATCTGCAAGGACATCCCTGTTTTAAGAATGGGGCAAAGTGGAGCAGTGGAAAGGGCAGGATGAGAAATCAGCTTTGAGTTGGAGCTCCACCATTTCTCATTACTTAGTTCATTCATGGGGAAGCTGCTTTTAAGTCAAAACTTACATAAGATGAAGGAAAACAGACATTGCCCTGCTTCCAAAAAGTTTACGGCGCAGGGGAGAAGCAGACGTTAATTAGTAATTACACAAATGCGATAAGGATCACAACATATTGTGGGGGAAGCTGATCTCGTCTGGGAGGCAGGGAGGTTTCTAGAAAGAAAATGAGACTAGAATTGAAAAAAAAGGCGTAGGAGTTCACAAGGCTATGCTCCAGGCAGAGAGAACAGCAGAGACCGTTTCCTGAGGTAGGAGACCATAGAATTATCTGGCAAAATCAAGGCCAGTGTAGCGGGAGGCGAGTGGATAGTGGGTCAAATTAGCCCAAAGTGCAGCATGAAAGATGCTGCTTATTCTAAAAGCCACGGAGAAGGTAGAGGGGTCCTCCACGGCTGTTAGAATAGGTGTGGAGGACGGATGGAAAAGGACCACATCTAGAGACAGGGAGACCAATCAGAAGGTGGAGAAAGTCAGCCAGGCAAGTGTATCTACGTGAATACAGACAAGAGTGGTCGCAGTGGAGACAGAATTACACAAATTTAAAAGTCAACTAGAAAGGAAAATCAACGGCACTTGGTGGTGGACAGAAAAGGAAAGCGACGGGGGAAGGGTCAGAGATGACCCCCAGTTTCCCGGTTTGCACATTCAAACGGATCTTGATGCTGTTATAGCCAGTCACTGAGACTGGGGAAGCTGGTGGGGACCAGGCTTGGGTTAGTTCAGTTCTAGAATTGATCCAAATGCAGATGTCAGTCAGGCATTCGACACTGGCCAATATCTAGAGCTCAGGGGAGAGGTCTGGGGATCCTTGGCATAGATTTGGTAATTGCAACCATGATTGTGGGTGATACATGCTTGAGGGAAAGTATCAAATGGGAAAGGAGAGGGTGGCTTAGAATCGAATCTCAAGAAATTCTAACCTTTATTTTATTTTAGTGTTTGTTTTTGAGAGAGGGAGAAAGAGAAGGAACATTAGTGGGGGAGGGGCAGAGAGAGAGCTGGCAGCCCAGAGAGTGAGGCTGGAACTTAGGAAACCACCAGATCATGACCTGAGCCGAAGTCGGATGGTTAACCGACTGAGCCACCCAGGCACCCCAAGAAATTCTAACATTTAAATAGAGGTAGAGGATGGGGTGCCTGGGTGGCCCAGTCGGTTAAGCATCCGACTTCGACTCAGGTCATGATCTCGCGGTTCGTAAGTTCCAGCCCCACGTCGGGTTCTGGGCTGACAGCTCAGAGCCTGGAGCCTGCTTCAGATTCTGTGTCTCCCTCTCTCTCTGACCCTCCCCTGCTCGTGCTCCATCCCTCTCTCTCAATAAGTAAATGAATGTTAAAAAAGTTTTTTTAATAAATAAATAAATAGAAGTTAGAGGAGAAGGAGCCCCCACAAGAAGACTAGCACAGTTCCTTGAAAAGAGAAATGCAGGGGCGCCTGGGTGGCTCAGTCGGTTAAGCGTCCGACTTCAGCCAGGTCGCGATCTCACGGTCCGTGAGTTCGAGCCCCGCGTCGGGCTCTGGGCTGATGGCTCAGAGCCTGGAGCCTGCTTCTGGTTCTGTGTCTCCCTCTCTCTCTCTGCCCCTCCCCTGTTCATGCTCTGTCTCTCTCTGTCTGAAAAATAAATAAATGTTAAAAAAAAAAATTTAAAAAAAAATAAAATAAAAAAAAAGAAAAGAGAAATGCAAAATTGCCACGTGACCCAGCAATTCTACTCCTAGTTAAGCATCCAAGAGAACTGAAGACAGGGACTCAAATATGTACATGTGTGCACACTTTGCTAGCAGCACTATTCACAACAGCCTGAGATGGCAAGCAGCTTAAATGTCCATCAGCAGATGAGTGGAGAGACAAATTGTGGTATGTCCATACGCAACGGAATACTATGCAGCCACCAAAGAAAAAATGAACTGCTAAATACATCCCACAGCAGGGTTAAGTCTCAAAGGCACTGTGTAAAGTGAAAGACGCCAGGCACAAGAAGCGCTTGATTCCATTTATATGAAATACCCAGAATGGGTAAGTCAGTAGAGACAGAGTGCAGGTTGGTGGCTACCAGTGGCTATTACAGAGTAGGAGATTTCCTGTGGGGGTGATAAAAGTATTTTGGAGCCAGATGGAGGTGGTGTTGGCACAGCATTGTGACCATATTGAACGCCGCTGAATTGTCCTCTTGCAAATGTCTAATGTATGTCATGTGAATTTCACCTCGATGTTAAAAAAGAAGACGACCGGGAAGGTGTAACCAGGGGTGTAGAACACAGGCTACCTGACTTTGGGCAAATGATGCCTAAAATGATAGAGCCTCTTTCTCTGTATGTAAATGAAGGGAAAGAGCCCTCTTGGAATGCTGTGGTATGGGTCAAGCATGACACGTTTTTGAAGTTTCTAGCAGAGGAAGGGTGGAGTGAAAACAGTTTCCTACCTACATCCTTTGGGCCTCATCAGGACTGAACTAACTTCTAACAGCCTGAGTCTTTATCTCAGGACCTGAGAGCTTTCTCCAAGCCAAGTAGGGCCACTGTAATTGCTTAAAGGCAAATGAAAAGGCCCAGAATCCAACTCTCGAGTGGGCCATAAACATCCCAGCTCCCTCAGGCCTGAGTGGAATAACTCTAAGACGCATGTTTTACCGATTCCCTAAAGTTTCCACGTGAACTTAAGCTCAGTTGCCACAGGGGTAGCCGGCTTGATAACTGATCTTTTATGTGCTGTCCCTTCTCACGACTCTTCCCTGGCTTCCTGCTCTCCAGCAAGGTGTCCTGGGATCATCGGTTAAACTACCCGCACTTGAGGGGGCCTGGGTGGCTCAGTCAGTTAAGCATCTTTGTTTGGGCTCAGGTCCTGATCTCCTGGTTTCACGAGTTTGAGCCCGGTGTCAGGCTCTGTGCTGGCAGTAAGGAGCCTGCTTGGGATTCTCTCTCTCCTTCTCTTTCTTTTCATCCCCAACTTGCACTGTCTCTATCTCTCTCAGGACAAATAAGTAAACTTTAAAAGTAAACAAACAAACAAAGTACATGCACTCGAATATGAGTCAGGGTCTGCTTCTGGGGAAATTCAAGCTGCTACACAGCCCTGTGCATACTCAGGTCATGTCACCCACTGTTCCCCGTTTACTTGGGCATCTGCATTTTGATATCCCTCATATCTATTCAGGGCCATATGGAGGACGTCCTCCTCAGCCCCTTATGAGATCCTGCTTAGAGAAAGGACTCAGGTACACAGGGAGAGATCCTTTCTTTTTTTTAAAGAGCTTATTTTTAGGGCACCTGGGTGGCTTAGTTGGTTGAGCGTCTGACTTCTGCTCGGGTCATGATCTTGCAATTCATGAGTTCGAGCCCCGCGTTGGGCTCGGTGCTGACAGCTCAGAGCCTGGAGCCTGCTTCCGATACTGTGTCTCCTTCTCTCTCTGCCCCTCCCCTGCTCTCTCTCTCTCTCTCTCTCAAAAATAAATAAACATTAAAAAGTAATGAAAATAGTTTATTTTTAAGTAATCCCTACATCCAACATGGGGCTCCGGCTCACAACCCCGAGATCAAGAGTCACATGCTCTTCCGACAGAGCCAGCCAGGCGCCCCAGGGAGAGTTCCTTTAGACGTAACATGTCCTGTGCAAAACTGTATCACACCTTACTCCAAATGCCCTCCATTTTCCTTCCGCTTATCTGTCTCCTGGCAACTCCTCTGATCAAAGTTTCCAAACTGTGGGGCACCACAGGATATACACAATACACAGATATAGCATATAATCATGCTGTCCCTAGACCTTGCCACAGAAAACTTTTCCATTTTCACTCTCCTGATCGTTTGAGATTGGCCTGATCTTAACATTCTCTCACCATTGGCCATTTACCTTTTTAACAAGGAGAAAGGG